TCCCCTCTATTTTACTTACAAAATATCGGATCAAAATAACGATCCGCCAAAAGGAAGGATGTATCTGGTCTAGGGTTATTAGGTATTTACGACAAAAATCTATGATAATACGGTCGAGGGGACCTAACGTGAAAGGGTAAGTATACACGCTTAAAAACCCTCAGGTGAGTAGTGATGTCCTCTTTAGGAGACGGCACTACCACCTCTTTGTTCTCCCAGTTACAATCCCTTTTTATCCGCTCGATGTGCCCCGGGTTATCGAACAAATATATCTCGATACGGGCTCACATCGGCCAGGAACCGGCGAACCTTTATCGAGTTTGAAATCAGAGGTAAGAACACACGCCGCCGGAACGCACTCCTCAGGACGAGGATCCACCAGTGTTTTATCGTCGGCGGATTGGGAAGAAGAAGCTTTTTCTTTTTGGGGGACGATTTTGGATGTCTTCACCATTTTGGATTTAAAGAAGGTGACGAAGATTTGGTAATTTGGAAGAAGAATTTTGCAAAAGGAACCACTGATTTGTGAATGAACTCAGAGAATACGAAAAGGAAATTGGGAAATTTGGAAGATTGGAGTTGCAAAAGTACTAAATGATAAAAGGAAGGGATATTTATAGGTTCAGGCAATAGCGGTTCAGTATCAGCGGTGGCCGACCACCGTCTGACATGCATTAAATATCTTGAAAAACTAAATCGACGGGACAACTATCACGTGCGTCATGGTCGAGCCCAATATAAACGTCAGCTTGTAATCCGATCGAGCCGTTAAAAAATCATATCGTTTCTCACCACATTCTTCCTGAGAAACGAGGGGACTATCTGTATGCAGTCGAAATAGATTTTGGCCTTCGTATGATCGATCGAGTTCGAAACATAATCGATCGAAGCGAGACTTCGAGTCGGGTTCTGAAGGTGGTACAAACAAGCTTCAAATCCAAGGGGCCGATATCCTTATCGAGCCCGAATCCAAATCGAGTTATGATGCAAAGTAAAGTTATCGAGCTTATGATCCAGAGACCAACCAACATCGATCCTGAATCAATTCAAGGGTCCGAGTCAGAATCGAGCTCAAGCCAAGATCGAGAGCTCGAGTCTAGACCGAAGACTCGAGTCAATATAGAGCTCATAAACAAGAGCCGTTGCAATCCCACTAGAGGAGAGAATCTCGGCAGGAATTGTGAAAAAGCTGATTTATCATGGTCTCCACTATGTATTTTTAATTATATTTAAAGTAAGATCCCTTTACTATAAAAAGGGATGGTTATCATTTCGGCAGAGGGCTAGTTTTTTTGCTTATATTGTAATCCAAATACCATATTCTCCCAAAGTGAAGAGTTGTTCTTTCAAGCGTCATTAACTGATTCATCTTGCTTAGTCCTAAAAATCGCTTTCTTTACAACTTTGTTTATTTTGCACTCTTTGCGGTCCATATTTGATATTTTCTTTTATCCTTACGATTTGTATTGAACTATATCACATATCCTTAGAACTACGAATAAATTCAACTATATCCGTTTTTCGGGTAAACATATTACAAATTCAACGAATATAATATAAATTCTTTCTGATAATAATAAGAAACAAATGGTGAATACTTATTATCTCATTGTCTCTGCCTTTATTTTCTGAAAAAATCTAAATTCAAACATGACAAAGATTGTTTAAGAAGTTTATACGATCAATTTTCGACTACAATCATTTTCTTAGATCGAATTTTATTATTACTGAATAACATTATATAATTTTCAAGTGAATGCATTGAAAAATATCGCATGTTTAATCACATATCACAAGCAGCACGGAAAACTACTAATAAATTCTTTTACATTTCATGAGTATTTTAGTTTTAGACTTAACCCCACTCAAATATCATTAAGTTTTCTGATTCCTTGTAATTTAACATAGACCAAAATATGATCATATAAATTCTTTCTAATAAGAAGAATATTGGAATACTTAGCTCATTGCCCTTATTTTTTCCAAAACAACAAAAAATAAAGCCGTTTGCAACCGAATTCATACTTGACCCCTTTAATAAGTTCTTTATTTTCACATAAGACGACAAATTATTCAGAAGTTCATACGTTATATGTTCAATGGTATTTATTGCAACATCATCTTTTCAAATATATATTTAAAGTAACACTCGTATATTGCACACATATTTTGGACTCAATCATTCTTTTGAATTGAATTTTATTAGAATTGAGTAAAAGTTAAATAATTTTTCAGTTAAGGTTAAAAAACTTTCCATTTTTTTAACCACACATACGAATCAAAAAAGTGCAAAGTAAAAATTATAGTAACTTGTTAAGAGTGAATAACGTATTTATTCAAAATATAAATATTGTTATGGTGTACAACAATTATCAATAAAAAATCTTTTCATGTGAACATCAAAGAGAAGTGGTGAAATAGATATATTCTCCAAGTCCTAACAACTTTGAAGTTTGAAGAATAAAAAGGAAAAACTATAGAAGAAATCCCTCAACCACTTGACAAAATTACACACAGTAATAATTTACCCTAGTCCCAATAAACTTTAGTCAACTGTAGTTATAGTATAATTTGACTTACCATTGAGTCCATACTTTGTAAGAATTTTGACGTCATAACTTAAAATGTATATAGAGACATGGGAATCCACGAAACTTTAGGGTCAATATATATAGTAGTATTCATTGTCCGAAACAAAAAGGAAAAATGAACAAAAAAGTAAAGCAAGAGGGTAAAAAGTATGAAAGGAAATTTTGTAAGTAAGTAAACGGTATCTTCAAGTATCGTGCATGCATTTTGTTGTGCTCTCTGTTTTTGTTTTTTGGTTTGCATGCACACACGCTTTCTCTCACTAAAAAAATCTCTTTCTCACTCTATATATACATAGTACTATAGTATAATGCAATCTGAAAAAGGAACTGCTGTATCTGTAATTTGGTCATCGAAACTACCACCTATCACCGCTACCGACCACCGCCGTTTTCTTGTTTATTTTTCTTCAACTGTGATTAGACCATTTTCTTGTGTGCAGATTCACTTCAAGATTTCCATAATTTCATGCCCATGCTAAGCAGCCTACTCTGTTTTCTGGGTGCACCAGTAGATTAGGCATGGCGAGTTTTTTCTTTCTTTTTCTTTTGGGGGTTTGGGATTTTTAATTTTGGGTTTATTTGATCTAAGTCAATGATTTCTTGAAAGGGTTTTAGGGATTTTTGGATTTGGAAATCTTAAATATGGGGTCAATGATATGCATGAATGAGGTTTGTCGTAAGACGACGTCGTCTGAATGGAGNTCCCCCCCCCCCCCTGAAATTGCTGATGATTTTCTTTTTCTTTGCATTTTGAAATTATTCCTAAATTTAGGATTTTCAGTTATATGTGAACATTTTTTGTTATATATAGTTAGTGAGTGGGGTTTTCCCTCCCTTTTACTCTTTTTATCAGAAGTAGGAGCAGATTTTGTTTTTTTTTTTTATTATGTGAATTGATGTTGCTTCCCAAAAAAAGAAGCCTCCTTTTGGGCAAGAAGAGGAGATGGGTCAAAGTCAAAAAGACTGTATGGTGTCTTGTTGTTGCTTCCTCATTTTGGGGGAAAGAGACAAGGGTCAGAAGTCAAAGGACCATATGGTGGTGCCTTTTTGTTCTTGCTTTATTCATTTATGTTTCTAAAAGAAGAAGAGTGAGGTGAGTTCTAATTACATGATAGCTTCATGCATATACCTTTCCATCTTATCTCTAAATTATTAAGGTTACTACTTAGTCCCCAAGATTAGAGGCGGATGGCGCATAGCATCTATGACTTCAACTAAACCCAATATTTTTGAACATGGATGCATATGTAAAAAATATCACTGAATTTCAACAAATATTAAATTCTAAACTCATAATTTCAAAAGTATAATGAGTTTAATGCTAAGGGCCTTAAATGTAGAATCCATCAAGTGTAAGTTTTGGATCCACATCTACCCAAGATGACAGCAAATTGGCCAGGTGGCTACAATTCGAATTGCATTGTGGCTCGTGTCTCCCTACTCTCCTGTTAACTATGTGAAAGAAAAGAGCTTGGACCTAAATCAAGAAGAAAATAACCTACTCATAGAACTTGAGTCTGAGGACAATGTTGCTTTCCTGGCCTAGAATTTTTGCTGCTTTCTCGGGCTTCAAGTACTCGTGATTCTTGAAATCTCTCTGTCACCTTTCTGTTGGTCTTTGTTGGCGAAAGAGTATGCCAGCCTTAAATGTCAACTGCTTTATTGTTAACTTGGCTATATGACTCTTAAAATCAGTAGGTAGATATTAAGTAGGTAGAAATTCCAATTCCTCCTGATTTTCATGGTTCATTTCCTTCTGTCACCCTTCTATCGCTTAACAACTTGTTTGGATGGTTGTTATGTATCATTTCATAATGTATCATATAGTATTATATTGTATTGTATTGTATTGTATTGTATTGTACTGTATCGTTTTCATTTATATGATATTTAGATAGATTGTATTGTTTGCCGTCGTTTCATGTTGTCATGCACCAACAATATGAAAAATAAACTTGCAATATTATAGAAAAAGTAAGCTACGAGGTAGAATAATTATATTAAAAGGTAGGGTAAAGGATAAAATATGATTATTTAACAATAAGGAAGGGCAAGGTGAGAGGAAAAAAATAAGGCAACGACGCGACAACACCAAATCGGTCGTTCCAAAAAGTGACACTTTTCGTCGTTACGTAACGACGGATTTAACGATTCGATACAATAAAATTTAAGTAATAATCAAAACAAACATTGTATTTAAAGTAACAATATGATACAATACAAAATGTAACAACCATCCAAACAAGCTGTAATTGTTAATTATTTGGAGCATTTTGATCAATCTTACATGTAATTGATTTTTATTAGTGCTTCTGGTGGATGTCTTAGTTTCTGTTATGCTAACTTAGTAAATCATTAAACTTTATTTTGGCTCCTGCCTTCATTGATGTCATCTCATTTGAGTGCAGATCTGCTTTTGAGAACTTATCCTTCTGTGAAACATTCCACATGGGGGATTCTGGTTGGAGGGAGTGCAAAATGTGTGGGAAGGTAAGTTATAGAGTTGGGTCAAGTTTGTCTCGTCGAGTGATTCTTGACTCTCTGTGCATATGGTCTTGCAGCATCTACACTGTGGGTGCATTGCTTCAAAATATTTGTTCGAGTACTTAGATTTTGGAGGTGTAGGGTGTATAAGCTGCGCAAGGTGTTTGGATGATCATTCCATGAGACCAATGCAGGTTCTTCTTTCTCCTTCCCTTTATCTACTTCATTTTTTTTATGTCTCATGGAATAGAGGGTGAGGAAGAGGCGTAAACAGTTGCACTAACTGGAATGAAACATAGTAGATATGATCCAAATATCAAATATGTACAGATTTTAGGAATTGTTATTGGTGGGACAAGTGCCTCTGCGATAAATGTGGTAGAGAAACGAAAGCATGTCTTCTTATCATTATCTTCAGTTTTTGTCCCTTTTATAATTGGTCCAACGAGCTGCTTGTATACCGGGATTTCCCCATTACATCAGTAAACCTTATTACTTTATAAAAATACTAACACAACAACTACACCTTAGTCCCAAACAAGTTGACGTCGGCTGTATGAATCCTCACCTCTTTATTCAAGCTCAACTGACATCATCATCATACCAAATAAAATAAATTTATATATAAATATATATTATACATACATACATACATATATAAATATATATATATATATATATATATATATATACACACACATATAATTATAATAATTATAATAATGATAATAATATTAGAAACTCTCTAACAAGTCTAAATCCTATTCCCAACTAGTAGTTCATCAAACTACTAATAATGATAACAATAAGAATAATTTGAATAATTGGACCGAGGGGAGCAATATTTACCACTGTTTATCCGGTATCTGCAAGTACACAAACCTGTTACATAATATATTAAAATGCATCTGAATTATTCTTCATCATTCATGTTCTTGGAAGTTAATGCTGAATTGTTGTGATTGAGTATTCGATGAAGTGACATTGTCTTGAGTCTCTATCGTTTATTCTGCTTTTAAAAACATTTACTTGTTTGTTAAGTCCCGTGGATGATTTTACAGCTAGAAAAATTGGAAGATATGCTGCTCTTATCCAGCCCTTCAATTCTGCATATCCTATTTATGGTAAAGATAGTTGTAGATTGCTAAATTTGGTGCAGGAGCACTAAATTTGGGTTATCATGTCTATGTAATGTATATGGTATACGGCAGTGGTTTGGTGCTTGTCTGATGCATTTGACATTTAATCTAATATATTTTATTGTGATGTTTGCTAATTTTCCATTGTAATAGAATATTTTGATTTATAATATTTTGGAATTATGTCGGCATTTTGGCCTTGTGGATAAATGTCTTACTTTTTCTGAAGCAGTGGAAGTACTGTTCTTCACTATGCTGCAAAATACAATGAGTATGTGTATGAGATTTACACCTTTAGCAAATGGCAATTACATTTTGAAATACAATTACTCACAATATGAGGATGGATGAACATAAAATGTACCTATTACTGTAGTTTACGCTTATGAAGTTCTTCCTTTATCCTTGTCAAGTAGTGTTATCACTCATTGGCAAGTATTGTGCTCCATTTTACTTGGTTGCTCATATCTTACTAGTGTGGAGATTAAGAAAAGAAACAATGTGTTATGACATTGGAGTAAGTAGGATACATGGTTAAAATAATAATTGAAACTCGTTAATGTTGAGCTGTCCCACATCGGTGGGATTTGAGGTCCTTGGTTTCCTTATATGGTCTTAGGCAATCCTCACCTCATAAGCTAGCTTTTGGGGTTGAGTTAGGCCCAAGGTCCATTTTTCAGCTAAAAGAGATACCACCATAGAACAGAGGCTAATAAAATGTAGTAGTTCATGTATTTTGACTTCTTGTAGTAAAAAAGTACTCTTCAAGGAAAAATGGTAGAGTAGATTGCTAATAACTAGATGCTGGTCAAGAAATTGGGATGGCATATATTTTGTAATTTTTTTTCCTTTTTAACATTTACTATTCATTTAATCATATTTGCTTTCAGTCTTGAAGTATATGTATTGGAACGAAATGGGCCCCAATAGGGCGAAATGGATATAGAAAATTCACATAGCCGGACCCAACTAGTTTTAGCTTGAGGCATTTTTGATTGTTCGATTGATTGATTTGATTGTCATTTCCTAGAATTTAATGTATCGTGCCAGTATTGTTTCACCATGTGTTCACTTTTCTCTCTTCTTAGTTTGTTTTACTTTTCTAATAAGAGTTGTTTTCGGGTCTCTTTTATATATCAGCACCTTGCCTACATGGGCGGATCTAGAGCAAACATTACGGGTTCCCGTGAACCCAGTAACATTTGCATAGACCCTGTATTTGTACTAAAAAATTCATTAAAAGTACAAGAATATTTAGTTTGGAACCCAGTTCGTTGGTCCAATTATCATGTGAATTAACTTGAGATTGTTATAGGAACCCATAAGCTTAAAATTCTGGATCCGCCTCTGCTTGCCTATGCTAATTGTTGTAGTCCTTAACATATTTGGTTGATAAGTTCCAGACATATTTTAGTGTTACCATTCTATAAATATTTTGGCAGGTACCTGCTGATGATTTTCGTGATAGCGCCTTCGGAACTAATTTTATACAGCCACTTCATGTGGAAAAGGGAGTAGATAAAACTAACTTCGACAAAGGAAGGCTTCCAATAGTGAACAATATAATGGAGATTAGTGAGCCTGGTCAACCCTTTCAAAGTCAAAAGGATGAGAATAATGTGTCTCTTGGGAAAACTAAACAAGAGAAGGTGCTACCTGTTGGTGATGTTAGCACATGCTTTTCGAATCTCAACCAGCAGTCTATAGCTTCTCTATTTCGAGAACAAGACAATAGCAAACCAAACCAAGGGGTAAAAGAAATGTATGACACGACCAATCAGCCATCACTAGATTTCTCTTTGAGTACTCCTGTGGGTTGTTCAAGTTCGGGATTATCTTTTCCTGATGGAGGGGTCGAAGGAAGGGAACATGAAAAAACTCCCTTTCAACAGGGGCTAAGGACGCGCCACATATTGCTCAAGCCCCTCAAACCTAGTCCCAGTTTTGGTTCTGATTCGAACAAAGAACTGCCTTCACAGACACGGATTGCAAGGCCTCCTGCAGAAGGGCGAGGAGGCCGCAATCAATTACTGCCTAGGTACTGGCCTAGGATTACAGACCAAGAGTTGTGTCAATTATCTGGAGAGTATCCTTGTACTTGCTGCTCATTGTTACTATTGCGTACTTTTGAGTTGTTCATCATCCTGTTAATCATAATAAAATCAGCAAGCTTTACTTAAGGAATTTTTTATGTCACTTCTCTAGCTTGGTATCAATTATGTTTGCTTTGACTGCTATTTTAAGCTTGAATTCCGCTATAGTTCCACTGTTCGAGAAGGTCCTAAGTGCTAGTGATGCTGGTCGAATTGGTCGTCTGGTTCTCCCCAAAGCATGCGCTGAAGTAAGACCTAACTCTTAAGATTTCATGATTCATGAAGTTCCTACTATTCCCCTTGTCCCAATTAGATAGACTTATTTAGGCTATTTACGGTCGATTTGACCAATTTTGGAGTTAAATCTGGTTTAGATTACTTTGTCTGGTGGGCATAAAAAATAAGTAATGAACTGTATGAACAATTCTAGAATTTGCAATATTTCTGACAGAATGTTGAGAATATTTACTTAAAAATCTTTTAGTCGAAGATCATTTCCTTTGACCCACGGGAAGCAAAGTAGGAAAATTGTTTTGAGGTAAAGGAGGGATAATATATCTTGTCTCTTACCTTTATGGTTGCTAATGGTTAGATTTGGACACACCTTTTTGCGCTTTATGAATTCTAAATCCTTTGCAGGCATACTTTCCTCCTATCAACCAATCAGACGGTCTGCCAATAAGGATTCAGGATATAAAAGGTAAAGAGTGGACATTTCAGTTCAGATTTTGGCCAAATAACAACAGTCGGATGTATGTTCTGGAGGGTGTCACCCCTTGCATACAAAACATGCAATTGCAAGCTGGTGATACTGGTAAGTTTCTTCATTTGATGTTGTAAGTGTCAGAGTTTCTTTTATGTCCTTTTCCCCCCTTAGTTTCGATTCTGCTGCAAGGTTACCTTCTTTTGTTCTACATCAATGATGCTGCACTTGATATAACCTCCTTAGATGCTTCTTCTTGAATATTATTCTTCTTTTATTCCTTTTTTCCCCTTCCAAAATCAGGGATAATCTGGTGATAATATATCCTGCTAGTGTTCACTACATCTTATCATGTTTTGATTCCACTTATGTTAAAAATAGATGAAGTTGATTATTTTTCAACAGATAAAAAATGGAGATAATAATATGAGATCTGTCGATTTGGTACATCTGTCAGATGCGTCATATTTGGCACAAATTTCTCTATGCCTTTCTTTACATGATCGTTGATTCTTCATTAGACTCACCAGTAGACCATGCACTTGGAATTTGTTAGTGATTTCTAATTATAGCAACTAATTGTGGTATTTTATTTCAGTGACATTCAGTCGAATTGATCCTGGAGGAAAGCTTGTTATGGGCTTTCGGAAGGCAACAAACAGTGTTGAGACACAGGTTAGTTAAAGATAATTTGCTTGCCTTACTCAGTGTCCTTCAGTTATTATCTTAATGAATATATCTCCTCTTGTCAATTCGCAATCACAGGATCCTCAGTCCTCACACCTCCCCGATGGTAGTGGCTCCGCAGATACTTCATTTACTGGCTTAACTGAAAACCTTAATGTGAGTAGCTAGTTTAGCCTTTTAGGTATTTGAGAAAGCTAGTAACACGACATGCTTGCTCCATTGGTTCTACTTTTTCCTTTATGCAAACTATCTTTGTTTTGGCAAAACATGGAAAGAATGGAGGCAGGACCAGTGCTGATTCTGTGCACCGGCAAGTGCCTGTTTCAGAGAAGAAAAAGACTACAAACATCGGGTCTAAAAATAAGAGGCTTCTCATGCATGCTGATGATGCCATGGAGCTTAGAATCACGTGGGAAGAATCACAAGAATTGCTCCGTCCACCTCCAACTACCCAGCCGACCATTCTTGTGATTGAGGACTGTGAATTTGAGGCGTATGATGTAAGCCAACTCAGTGTACATTGTGGGTGTGTTTGGTATGAAGGAAAACGTTTTCCATGAAAAATGTTTGCCTGGAAAATGTTTTCATGGAAAATGAGTGGTTTTATTACTTATTTTCCCTTGTTTGGTTGGTGAGCGAAAACTTTTTCCAGAAAATATTTTCTAGTGTTTGGTTAGAGAATATAAAATATTTTTAGGAAAATNCGGAATTTTATTTTCTTCAAGAATTTAATTATTCTTTTCAAAATTCACACAAACCCAAATGAACTAATATGCTAGTTTACTTTTTCAAACAAGAACAAGTTGAAATTTGAGTTCGATAACTAAAAAGAATACTTTTTTTTTGTTGAAAAAGAAAGTATCCTTTCTACGACAAGAAAAGAAATTACTCATTTTATTGAATGAAAGAAAACACTTTTTCTACATCATGAAAAAAATACTCAATTTGTTGAAATGAAAGAAAATACTTTTTGTACATCATGAAAAGAAAGTATTTATTTTGTTGAAATGAAAGAAAATACTTTTTCTACATTATGAAAAGAAAGTACTCGTTTTGTTGAAATGAATGAAAATACTTTTTCTCTACATCAGAAAAAGAAAATACTTAGTTTGTTGAAATGAAAGAAAATACTTTTTCTCTACATCAGAAAAAGAAAATACTTAGTTTGTTGAAATGAAAGAAAATATTTTTTTACATCGTGAAAAGAAAGTACTCGTTTTATCGGGAAAAAAATACTTTTTCTATTTCAGGAAAAGAAAATACTTAGGGTGGAGAAGGTTGAAAAAGAATTTTGAAAAATATTTTCCCTTCTTTTGATCGGGAAAACATCTTCCTCCAAGTTCGTGAGGAAAATATTTTCCAAAACATTTAAGCCAACCAAACATGGAAAACTTTGAAAACATTTTCCGGAAAATATTTTCCTTTGTACCAAACACACTCAGTATCACACAAATTTTGTTTCTTCCCATTTTATTTTTCTTCATTTCCTTTCCATCATGATAGAGATTAGTAATTGAAAACTATAATGCTTTCTTTTAACTATAGGAACCACCAGTCTTTGGAAAGCAGACAATATTTACTTCCCGGCCTTCTGGGTAAGGCAAAGACTCTTGACTATTAAGAAAAGTTTTTTCAGTGCTCAGAAAGTTTTCTCATTATACCATTACATTTAGCCTCATTGTTTGTCTATTTCTTTCCACGTGCATTGGAGGATGTAGAATCTGAAAAGATCAAAGACAGAAACTATGTGCTTTTTCAATAATATTTGCCTTTGCTTTTGCTTCATATCAAAGCTGTTGTTATAGAAAATGAGTGGATTTACTGCTGCTTATTTCACTGCTAGAAACTGCAAGATTTTTTGTTTGTGGAGTTCAATGAGCTATGATGATTGTTAAGTGGTTGTAGTACCCTTTGTACAGGGACCAGGAACAATGGGCTCAATGTGACAGCTGCTCCAAGTGGCGTAGATTGCCCATGCATGTTCTCCTTCCTCCTAAGTGGACTTGTTCAGACAACATTTGGGACTCAAATAGGTTTGTAATCTTCCATTTTGGATTGTTATTATTTAAGCTTGTTATATGATTCTCATTTATAAATATCACATTGCTGAAATAAAGAAATGTTTTGCTTCTTGTCCATATGGTGAAGTTTCTTAATAGGTAAACCAGAACTCAGCATTGAACCCCCCACGGCCTCACCCATCTCAATTTAAGAAAAATGTGGATTAAACATTTTATGTGGAATTTTCTTTTTTCCTTTTTGGCTTCTCATATCATTGGCAAGCTTAGCTAACTGGAGCAAGTTGGTTTTAGACCATTTAAATCTTTTAAGCACATTTAGTTGTCCAAGATGCCATGTTCTGATGCATCGCTCTGAGATTTTTCATGTTTTTTTAATGTGTGTTGGTGGGGGCTCTGCAAACTGATATAAACCTCTACCCGTGTGTACTTATTGACTAAATAAGGTATGAAGAAAGGATACAGTTATCTTATCCATTTTCTGCCAACAGTTTTCTTTACAGATGTTCCTGTTCGGCTCCTGAGGAGATTAAAGCAAAGGAACTAGAAGCTTTCTTTAGAGTCAGTAAGGGTATCATATCTTTTCTCCTTGTTTAATAGACTATCTCCCCTACCACTTTTATTTGTATTTTTTAATTTTTTCCTCTTTCAGGAAGAGTGGTTAGACATACTTTAATGTTCTTTATGAACTGTTATACAGCGTCAACCACTACATAATTATGATGTAGTCAAGACGTATATATGGTTAAGAATGATGATGAATGATTAAACATGTCTTACTTGCTAGTACAACAACAACATACCCAGTGTAATCTCCTACAAGAGGGGTGTGGGGAGGGTAGTGTGTATGCAGATCTTACCCTTACCTTGTGTGAGGTAGAAATGTTGTTCCCAATAGTCCCTCTGCTCGAAGAAAAAACAAAGCAAGTTTGAAAAAATACAGTAGTGAAGAGACCATGTTGGAAATACCGGAGAAAAGAAACAGTAATAACAAGATAGCCGACTCAAAGGAACAACAGGTAATATAAAAAAATTACAGAATAGGATAATATGAGAAAAATACTAATACTACTTATACATAGAAGGACGTGCATATAAGGTGCTTCAAACTGTCATCACGCCTCTCCCACAGGAAAGTGAGACATTGGTCCTCGACTACCTACTAACCTTCTAACTTAATCCTCGATCTCCATACCCTCCTATCTAGGGTCATGTCCTCGGTAAGATGAATATGTGCTATGTTCTGTCTAATAACCTTACCCTAATACGGCCTACCTCTACCTCTCCTTAGACCTACTATTGCCAGCCTCTCACACCTCCTTACTGGGGCATCAGTGCATCTCCTCTTCACATGCCCGAACCCATCTCAGCCTCGCTCCCTCATATTGTCCACCACGGAGGCCACTCCCACTTTGGCCCGTATATCTTTGTTCCTAATCATATCGCTCCTGGTATGCCACACATCCATCTCGGCATCCTTATTTCCGCTACTTTCATTTTCTAAACGTGTGCGTTCTTGATTGGCAACATTCTTTTCCATACAATATAGTTGGTCTAACAACCACTCTATAGAAGTTTTCTTTAAATCTTGTATGCACGTTTTTATTACACAGCACACCGGATGCGAGCCTCCATTTCATCCACCTCGCTCTAATACGATGAGTGACATCATCGTTAATTTTCCCATTATCTTGGATTTTTGACCCAAAATACTTGAAACTTTCCCTCTTTGGGATGACTTGTGTATCAATCCTCCGTCCACACCCACCTCATGTGTTGTGTCACAAAACTTGCATTCCAAGTATTCTATTTTGGTCCTGCTCAACCTGAAACCTTTAGACTAGAGGGTCTGTCTCCAAACCTCCAGCCTAGCATTAACTCCGTCGCGTTTCTTGTTAATCAATATTATGTTATCTGCAAATAACACACACCATGGCACCTCCCCTTGTATATGTCGCGTCAGTTCATCCATCACCAAGGCAAATACGAACGGGCTAAGAGCTGATCCCTAGTGCAACCCAATCACGACTGAAAGTATTCCGAGTCTTCTCCCATTGTTCTCACCCGGGTCTAGGCTTCATTCTACATGTCTTTAATCGTCCTAATGTATGCCACATGTATACCTTTAGCTTCCAAACATCTCCATTAGACCTCCTTGGGTACTTTATTGTATGCTTTTTCTCTTCCTATCCCTATAATGCTACACCAATCTCCTTACAAGATAGATGTCTTTCGTAATTGACTACTCTGGTATGAATCCGAATTGGTTCTCGAAAATAGACACACTCATCCTCATTTCCACCACCCTCTCCCACACTTTCATAGTATAGCTTAGTAGCTTGATATCCCTATAGCTGTTGCAATTTTGGATATCACCCTTGTTCTTGTACAACATAATCATTGTACTCCACCTCCATTCCTCGGGCATTTTAGTCGTCCTAAAGACGACGTTAAACAACCCAGTACGCCACTCTATACCTACCTTTCATGCACTCTTCCAAAATTTCACCAGGATCTTGTCTGAACCGGTCGCTCTTCACCTTCTCATCTTACGAATAGCCCCCTTTAACCTCCCCAAACTTTATACACCTACAATACCCAAAATATCGACGACTCTCGGAGTGCTCTAAGTTACCCAGCATAATATTCTTGACCCCCTTTTCATTTAAGAATTTATAGAAGTATGCCTGCCATCTTCGTTTAATGTGTGCCTCTTCCACCAATACTTTGCCTTCCTCGTCTTTGATGCACTTCACTTGGTCCAGGTCTTGACCCCTCCTCTCTCTCCTTGGCGAGCCTATATAGCTTCTTATCCTCGCCCTTGTCCTTAGCTCTTCATGTAAGTGTTCGAAAGCTGCCGTTTTTGCCATCGTAACCGCCAACTTTGCTTCCTTCTTCTTCGTCTTATACCTCTCTCTATTCGTCCTCTTTTCCTCCTCATTTTTTCTCTCCACTAACTTCATATAGGCAACCTTCTTGGCTTCCAGCTTTCCTTTGGACCTCTCCATTCCACCTCCCCTTAATGTCCACCAAAGTTACCCCTCGAGACTCCCAACACCTCTCTAGCTACTTCATTAATGCAATTTAGCTGTCCTATCCCACATGTCTTGCTAGTAAAATATAGAATCTTTTAGTGCTTAAAAGCACCCAAAAAATCAAGATCTCTTAATCCCCAAAATAAGGGTTCTACATCTTACGTGAATTTTTTCACTAGTAAACCACATTGCACACTCTAGCATACATCACTTGTGATGTAGCTTCAAAATTTTACTAGCTTGTAAGATGCAGAATATTCAGGAAAGGTGAAGTTGATAAAAGTTGGTGCTTCTTCTAATTTGATCAAATGGAAGTAACTGTATGGACAAGATTCGTCATGAAAAATTAGTCACTTTCAAAAAGTTCCATTTCTCAATTACCATGTGGAGATGTAGATCGTCCTTAATTATGTTCAAGCGGTAGCGTTTGCACTGACACTGAATTAATCAACCAAGTTGAAGTTGGACTTCAGTTGAAATCCATAGTTTGTAGCTTCTTATGATGAAACCCCTATTGTTTTCCATCTATTGACCCGGCCTTCCTTGGCAATCCGAGTAGCTGCCAAATAGAAGTTGTTCCAATGCAGATCCATCTATAATAAAGATATCACATCGTGTGGAAGTCTTTGAATTAGGCTGTGTAATGTCCTTTGGCTTGTCAAAAATGTATAATGTTCTGTGTTTCCACCTACTTTATAAAGATAATTTATGATGATTGTCTCTTTAAATGAACCAAAAAGTAGTAGATGCATCAAAACCATTTATGTAGGTAACGTTTTTTGAAGAAAACAAATGAGTTGTGGATCAGGATGGGGTATACTTTATACATGTTGATGAGTGGACTTGCTAAGTTTTGTATTCTACGACTTTTTTGAATAGAAAAGAAGTGAAACTATTTTGCTCATTTTTGTTTTTACCAACCAAAAGTTGCAAACAAATATAATTTCTTCTCTTATATCCTCACGTCTAGAAAGTTGATTGTTTCCTTGTATAAAGATTATTCCCTTCACTGTTATATTGTTTTCATTTCCAGGTCACAAGAGGCAAAAAATTGCCGGGAAAAATGAAGATTGTGAACCGTCTGGATTAAATGCCTTAGCAACAGTTGCTGTTTTGGGAGACAGCATTAGCGACCTGGGAGAGCCTTTAGTTGGAGCCACAACAAAACATCCTCGGCACCGTCCTGGTTGCACTTGTATTGTTTGCATTCAGCCTCCTAGTGGAAAGGGCAAGCACCAGCCTACGTGTAAGTGCAACGCCTGCTTGAGTGCGGAACGACGTTTTAAAACCCTCATGCTGCGTAAGAAGAAAAAACAATCGGAAAGAGAGGCAGAAGTTGCACAGGCAAAGGATCAGGTTCCACCTAAAGATGGATCAGAAACAGATGGGGCAAGTGGAGCTGAATTGATGATGCAAACAAGTCATTCTGAAAACGAAAGAAATACAAACGGGGATCACATGGAGAAAGTTGGAGCTGGCAAGGGACAGTTGGACCTTAACTGTCATCCTAACCGCGAAGATGAAATGCTAATTGAGGCAGCAGCTGGAATAAGCATGACATCTCTTATTAATGCTGCTGATCTTCCACTGGATATGTATCAAACGCAGAATGGGCTCGCAACCTTGGACAAGTGTTTGCTGTCATTAGCTACTGCTGGGAGTGAAGGACAGCAACCTGATAATGGATGTGTCAGACCTGCTGATGCTCAAGTACAGGAGAATAATGGTGACAATGGGTAATTTCGTGATTCGGCCTGTTAATATTCTTTCTTTATCTTTTAAAAATATTTTTTGAACCTTGGAAGGGGAGCCTTGCCGCAATGGGGTAAGAGTGCTACCATGTGCCTAGGAGGTCGCGAGTTCACCCGTAGAAATAACCTCTTGCATATATGTAAGGTAAGGCTTCATATTATAGAACCAATGTGGTCCAGTCTTTCCCCATACCCCGGCATAGTAAAAGCTTATTGCACCGGGATATCCTTTTTAAAATGCATTATTTATCTGTTTTTTTCACACATACGTATCATCTACATTTACTAAAGTTGTTCTATGTGTAAATAGTTGAGCATTTCAGGGAACAATTTGTAAATCTTGATTCTTTATGATCTAAGTGCCTGTCTGGAACTTTTCTGCAGACATCATTTGATTTTCATTTTTTGTACCATCATTTGTTGATCTGTTAGAATATTTAAGTTTGACAAAATAGAGGTACAAACATTTATGGATATTAGTCGTAATTTGTATGTGGAGTTTTCTTTCGAGTTGGACAGTCATTCTGCTCTTTGGAACTTTCTTTATTCTTTTCTCGTTTAAATAGATACAACTGAAAAAATCTAGACTCTAGGTACATTCTCACTCTTACCAAGCCATGGTGGATGACAAAATGTGTGAGGCTTATAATATATAACTAGTATTTAGATAGATTATTAGAGGCTTGTAATACTTACTTTATTTTCTTAAAAGATTTTACAATTCATTATTGTCTTAGAAAACAGCAGCCATTGCGGATCACACAAATACCTAGTTAATTTGAGAAGTAATTCATAATCAGAAAAGGATTTTGTAATTGCTCATTTAGATATTGGTGGTCCATAAAAGAGTGTACGTGTGAGCAGTAATAGGATAACTAACTATGACACTTCAAATCTAAAGTTTTGATCAATGATTGTTAAGTTCAACGATAGATTATTAGAAAAGAAAGCAAAAAAAACAACTCAGAAGAAACAAACTAATGTGGAAAAAAGCAGAAGAAGATAAATATAGTCAGAAAGAAAAAATATTAACAAATGAAAGAATTCCCAGCAATAGCTTAAAATGTATATATAAATTAAATTTCTTTTGGGAAATTTTAATTATTAAATAAAACTCATAATTCTATGTTGAAAATAAAAAGAGGAAAAAAATATTTTCATATTGATGATAACACAAAAAGAAATAATTATTAAAATATTCATAGATTTTTTAGCAAAATCATAAAAGGCTTCTCTCTTTTTACTTTTAATGAATTCAAAATCACAATTTAATAATAAGTATTAAATTATTTTATTTATACTGGAAAATACTTATAAATGTAAAAATATTTTTAAGTAAATACTAAAACTAAATAACGAAAAGAAATGTAAAAAGGAAAAAAAAACTGAAAAAAGATTATTGTGTAGAGGCTTGGAATCAAACCCATGACTTAAGGGTCCTGACCACCACTCCACCTACCATTTAACTAATGCACAATCCTTTACCTTTGTTGCCCACTTTGTTGGTTAAATATACTTGAAGCACATAGCTCATGCCTGCCAAGCACTATGCGTTTTTTCCCCCCCCAAAAAAAAAAGAACGGGCGACGAACATTAACACGGAGCGTTATCAAAAAGTCATATAGCCACTATATGTCTTTGTGTTCTTTTTATTTATTTATTTAT